CCGCTGAGTAAAAACACTGCTGACAATACTTGTGATTATTATTATTTTATTATTATTATTATTATTATTAAAATAAGCTGTATTATGTAGTAGTAGTAGAGGAGAGAGATAAAGACAAAGGCAGAGAGAGAGAGTTGGTGCCTCCATTATTGCCTCCCACCCGCAGTTCTTACGTCTCTCTCTCTTTCTATTCATCTACATCTTTCTCTCTATATTTTCCCTCTCTCCCTCACACACCAGATTTCATCAATGAGCCAATTTAAGTCAAAGAATCAAGTTGCCGCTTATTAAACTAACTTTAAGAGAGAGAGAGAGAGAGAGAGAGAGAGAGAGAGAGGTTATATTAAACATCACACAAACCCATCAAAAAAAAAACCGGAATAAAAACCAAAAACAGCGAAAAATAAAAGAAAATCACAAAGAAGACGAAATAAAACAAACAAAAACAAAACAAATATTAAACAAAAATAGAAACGAAAAAAATAATTAAATAAAAATTAAAAGAAACCTCGAAAAAAAAAATATCAGAACACATCACTTGCCGGCGTTGCTATGGTGATCGGTACACGCCCACTGTCTACACACACGCCCACGATCCTTCTATACACACGCCCACCACTTTATACACACGCCCACAGGTAGAGAGAGAGATGGGGGGGGAGGGGGGAGGAGGCGTGGGTGTGTCCAGCGGTATAGACTAAGGAGGAGGTGGTGTGTGATTGGTCGCTACAAATATAATTAGAGCGTTGATTGGTGGATTCAGAACACATCTTGACGCTGATTGGTCGAGCACTGGTGATAAAGGGTGTTGCTTGGTCTTGACTGTTTTAATATTGAGAGAGAGTTTACACACATCCGCACATACATACATACATACATACATACATACATACACACTCGCAATCATTCATACATGCATTCCCTACTACACACTCACACACACACACACACACACAGTTTAGTAATATTACATAGATTAGAGAAAAGCCAGAAAGCTCTACTGGAGACGGTGAGTGTGTGAGTGAGAGCCAGAAAGTGTGAGTGCGTGTATGTGTGAGAAAGTGAGTGAGTGTGAGTATGTGAGAGAGAGTGAGGCGGGTGGGTAGGTTGGGCGTGTGGGTGGCGTGTGGCGACGGTTGCCATGACAGCACGCCTCCTGCTGCCTACACACACACACACACACGCCCATGAGGATCACACGCCCACTGCCACACACACACACACCACGCGTCATGATATCTTTCTCTCTCTCCCTCCTCCCACCAAGCCTCTCTCTCTCCCTTTTATTCCCTGCTTTTGATGCTTGCTCTCCTCCCCTCTCTCTTCCCTCTTTTTGTCTGGGGACGGGAGAATAACACGTGAAGGAGAGAGAGAGAGAGAGAGAGAGAGAGCGCTGGTACCTCACAACGTTACCAGGATTTACTAACATCAACTAACTTAACAAAAACACTTTATTTTTTGCCACAGGTAAACAAACACAGGTAAACATAACACCTAACATCAACATTCTTCATTAAGCGTTGATTCACTCACCCTTTCCTTTCCTCTTCCTCCCTTTTCCTTCCCCAAGCTCAGGGGATCGCTCAATAATGCACGGAGGCACTGATGGAAGGGGAGGGAGGGGTGGAGGGAAGGGTGCAGGGGAGGAAGGAAGGGGTAGCAATGGAGGAGGGGAAGCGTGGCACCACTGTACCTTATGTGCTTATCAGAGTCGTTTAACACTTCCAGGTCGAGAGGCAGTGCTGGTGGGAGGAGGAAGGAAGGAGGGTAAGGAGAGGGGGGTAGAGTAGGAAGGAAGTCGAGGAAGGGGAGTGGGAAGGGAGGGGATGTAGGTGTGATGGATATAAAAGGGGAAGGAAAGGGAGTGGAATGTAAGGGGGAGTGGAGGGGGGGAGGGGGGTGGGGAGGAAGGAGGTACAACACCCTTCACCCCCCATAATAACCCCCACCCATTGTTAAAAGAAATATCACACACACACACACACGTACGTCCATGACCCTGTGTATGCTTGCGTTATGACCTCATGTGGGTGGAGAAGAGGGTTAGAAGTCAATGGGCAGGGACGACTGAGTAGGGTAGAGTAGAGCAGAGCAGGAATAACGACCCTAAGTCAATCTATATTTCAGTCTTGTTTCGCTCAATTTCTCGCTCATTTTCTGGCTGGGGTTGGTAGAGAAATACACATTAGTATACAGTACATACTTACTTAAAGAAAACGTAAATACACCTAAGAGAGTATAGAAAGGTAATTTTTTTAGTGTGTTGTTTTTTTGGTGTGTGATGATCCTTGATTTTGTTTTTATTCTTCTCACCGAGCGAAACCCGACTCGTCCCACGGTGCTGTGAGGGTCAAGGACTAGTGGCCCTCTCGTGTCAACAAAAAACAGCAGGGTGAAATTGCTTGACTATCTGGGAATGTGAGGCGGACACTTCCTACCATTGCTGCTTCATCACTACCACACTTGTTTTTACCTGTTATCATCACTACCACTCCTGTCTGTACCTGTCACCATTACCACCACACCTGCCTGTACCTCTACCACCACCATCACCACCACCACACCTGCACCTCTCCCACCCTCATGGAAAAACCACAACACCTGTATCCCTTTGTCTCTACAGCTGTAACCCTGCCAGTACTCTGTTCTTACGTGCCAGGGTTACAGTGTACCCCCCCAGAAGCGGCAGGAGATCGCTTACAACAAAATAATGTAGTTTTTTAGTAACATACAGTACAGGAATTGACTTATCTTCTTAAAAATATATGCAGAGAAAAACATTAACAAGCAACTCCGTCGTCGTCATCAACGCACACACACACACTGCACATCACCACACAAAGACGCACACGCACACACTGCACATCACCACACAAAGACGCACACACTTTCCACATCACCAGAAACATATATACACACACACACACACAATACTAACAAAACTCTTGTGTCTGAATATTCAAGTAAGCGATGTGTTGGTGATGAGGGAGTAAGTGTGGTGGGTCAGGCAGGCACGGGTAAGTGTGGTAGGGGTGGTGGTGGGTGGTGGTGGTGGGGCAGGCAGGCACGGGTAAGTGTGGTAGGGGGGTCAGACACGGGTAAGTGTGGTAGGGGTGGTGGTGGTGGGGCTGAGGTGGTGGTGGGGCAGGCAGGCATGGAGTGGTGTGGTGGGAGGTCAGACACGGGTAGAGGTGTGGTGGGGGGTCAGACACGGGTGAGGTGTGGTGGGGGGTCAGACACGGGTGAGGAGTGTGTGGTAGGGGGGTCGAACACGGGTAAGTGTGATAGGGGGTGGTGGTGGGGCAGGCACAGGTAAGTGCGGTGGGGGGTCAGACACGGGTAAGTGTGGTAGGGGTGTGTGTGGTGGTGGGGCAGGCAGGCACGGGTAAATGTGGTGAGGGTCAGACACGAATAGTGTGGTAGGGGTGTGGTGGTGGGGCAGGCGGGCACGGGTGGGGTGTGTGCCCAGGGGGGTGGTGGGGCAGGCAGGCACGGGTAAGTGTGGTAGGGGGGGGTGGTGGGTGGTGGTGAGGACAGAGGACAAAGGTGTAGATAAGATACCCACAACTTAACAACATCAAATAACAGGTGGTGTGGTGTACGTGCTCATCAAAATGAATGGATTATCATCTATTTTTTTCCCCTTATACGATACATAAATAAATCATCATATTATCACCAGAGTTGAAAATATTGACGTCAGAAGTATTTTTGGTTTTATTACGTGTGTCGTCATTATCTATATAATGAGTTGTCTTTGATGTTTACCTTTTGTTTGCAGTGTTATGTTCCATCATTATAAACAAACTTTGACAAAAACACGCATATACATAAACATTGAAAACACACACAAACATAAACACGCACATAAACATAAAAAAAACGCCACAAACACAAATCATCTGGGATAACCGTTTGCTCGCGCGCGGAATTTCCCCCACATGGTAAAGATTAACTTAGAAAGACCCTCCAGGAAAGTGACACCAACCTACTGTACACCAGACACACCACCATCATCACTTAGACAGGTAACTTTTCCTCTCGTCTCTACCACAACAAGAGTGACAGAAGGAGTGTGTTTGTGTTGCAGGCCAGTAGGTTGCGTGTCGGCCCGTACTCCCTGTGTGTATTGATTGTTTTGGCTGGGATGGCAACCCCCCCCCTCGGCCCGAGCGCGTGGGTGAATGGGTCCTGTTTATTTATTCTTTCATTCACCCACAGCAGAGGCTAGCTACATTCTCCCCCCCTGCCCCCCCCCCCTCCTCCTCCCGGTACTGCCTACTCTCTCTCTCTCTACTCTTGCCCTACCTCGTCTTCTTTCCTCGCGTTAGTTCTCCTTACATCTTTCTCTCAATACTCTGGAGGAATTATTTGAGATAATTAAGGTGGTATGTTTATCATTTTGTACTAATCTACTCTACCCGTCACCTGACCTTTAAAGATTACCCTTAACTGCATGATTATTCTACCACAACAATGTTAATGAATCTTGCAATAATAATAATATCAATATACGAGGGAGTGGTTAAGCCGTGGCCATGAATCAATAGAAACAGACTTGGGAGACAGTCAAGGCCAACTACCATTACGGGGAGTTGCTTCATTCACTCTTACAGTCATCACCACCACCACGGTAAATACAGTCACCACATAACGTAATAGTCAGTTGTCAACACCAAAACGATGGCCACAGCACACACACACACTACACCACACGTTGATAAGATACTGACGATGTGGTGATAAGCAGATAAGAGAGCACCACTTACTAACTCCTTCCACCTACCATGAATATGTGGATATGAGGAAGTGGATTTTATGTGGGTGGTTTTCACCTACCAATATTCAACTACTGTTACGTGACAGCCAATATTTATGTGACAACTCGTCTCAAGTGACAGTGGAGTGTGGTGACCTACATGTGGGAGAGTAACGACCTCCTCTGTGCATTAATATATAAACAGTGTGTAGAGCTGCAAGAGACAGTACCACTAATTTACCTGCTAGACAGTGAGCACTGCAGCCCTCTTGGTTGAACTTGCGGCAGAGGATGCTCATGAGCGTGGGCTTGTGGGGGTTGTAGGCGTGGGCGTGGTCGTAGAGGACGATAGGGACACACTGGTGGAGCCTGGCGAGGCGGTCACCCCCGTCAGCAGCGAGGTGACGCACCACCTGCAGGAGACTCAACTTGCCGGAGGCCAAGCGTCTCAGCATGAGGGAGGGAAGGCCCACGCTGACGGCGCCGCGGATGTGGCCCGCACCGTAGTCGTCCGCACCTCGACAATCTAGCACCAGGATCTCCTCAACGCCATGCGCCTGTCGCAGCGCCTCGCACAGGAAGCTGGCCTCCACCACCGGTGCTACGCTCACCCCGCTCATGCTGCTGTTGGCGCCGCTGTATCCTGCTGCCGCCTCACCATCAAGAGAAGGCATGGCGGAGCATGGGCACTCCACGACTATTACTGCTCTTCCAGGACATGTACATACACTTACTGCAACATCAACTGTGACTGTCAACCACCAACGTCAACACACACTTTCCAAGCACAGCTCAACAAGACACGTCTTCACTCCAAGCAGTCGTACCACCATCTGAATTAGCAGACCATTGATGAAAACGTCCCTAGTACGGAGCCGTAGACGTCACTAACTGCGGTGGACGAATCAGCGCGTAGCAACTCGTGACGGTACCCAATGAGAACCGAGCCGAGGCTGGCAGCCAATGGGAGAACGCAGAGATAGCCAATCGTGAGGAGTTATTCTCGATGACGTAAGATTATCTCTAAAAGGAAAGCATTACCAAAAAGCGCGGGAAGCGGAGAAAACATGAATCAATCTGATCAATAGCACACAACGCTTCAGCACGCTGACACACAGTTTTCTCGTTACTACCTTTGAAAAAACTTCCTCATCAGACAGTAAAAAATGAAATTAAACGAAAAAATATGAGTAATATGGTGATACAATGGACTCAGGATAGCCAAATACAGCAAGGTCGGAACGCAGAGTGGGTGGGTGGAGAGGTGGGGGGAGGGGTAGGGCGAGAGGAATGGAAGGTATACTACTCAAAGATCACTTATAAAATACCTTATAAGTATATCACTATTATTAATCACTTTATATTAATCATTGTTTGTGAGAAAAACACCCTCCCCAACCAACACCTCGCGCCCCCCCCCCTCCCCCGCCCAGCACCTCCTCTCTCTGGCTCCTCCCACTCCGTCCGTGTATGAGGCTTCGAGCTCCACTAGATGTCCGTGGAGGTGCGTGGGAGGTAGACGGTCCGCTGCTGCTGTTGTTGTTATGGTGTTTACTCACCACTTGGACACTTAATTAAACACCACTTTTGCGTTTCCTCTATTTACCACTTTTTTCTTAGCGTTTTTTTTTGCTTCTTATTTGTTCGTTTTACGTCGTTTATTCACTGTCGCATTTTCTCATAACTTGTTTTATTCTTTTAAAAAATTTCTTTGTTAGTTTTTATTTTTATGATAAGTCTCTTGCTGTTCCGATATAAGTCTATTAATAACCCGATATAAGTCTTATTAATAACCCGATATAAATCTATGACCCGATAACAGTCTATTAAAGACCCGATATAGGTCTATTAACAACCCGATATCGTAACATAATCCACCTTCTAAGAACCTTTGAGAGATCGGCTCCTTAGTTATCAATCTTTCCTCACGTCTTTCGTTTATCTTCTATTATATCTTGTTGTTCCGTCTCTGTTCTTCTGTTTCTTGTCTTCTTTTGTGTGTTATTCCTCCATTTATCTTCCTTGTCTTCTTATTTATTGATAGAGAGAGAGAGAGAGAGTGAGAGAAAGATAGAGAGAGATATACAGACAGTGACGTAATTACCTACACACTATACATACATACATACATACATACATACATACATACATACATACATACATACATATATCCATACATACATACACACATACATACATCCTTGTTGGGCGTCACTAATTAGTTGGTTAAGCGAATAAGAACATAAGAACATAAGAATGGAGGAAACTGCAGCGGGCCAATTGACCCATACTGGGCAGTCCCGTTTACACCCAACCCCTATTGCTCATATAAGCATCCAACCTATGTTTGAAGCTATTCAGCGTATTCGAGTTAATGATGATAATTGGTAACTTGTTCCATTCATCCACTACTCTGTTTCCGAACCAGTGTTTACCTATTTCATGCCTAAATCTAAATTTGTCTAACTTAAAACCATTGTTACGAGTTCGCTCCTGGTTGGATAGTTTGAGTACCTTTGTAATGTCCCCTTTGTTTAGCCTTGCCTTCCACTTATACACCTCTATCAGGTCGCCCCTCGCTCTACGTCTCTCGAGGGATTGCAAATTAAGATGCTTTAACCTGTCTCTATACTCAAGGTTCCTAATGCCCGGGATTAGTCTTGTCATTCTCCTCTGAATTCTTTCCAATGATTCTATATCCATTCTGTAATACGGTGACCAGAACTGAACTGCGTAATCCAGGTGTGGTCTCACAAGAGCAAGATACAGTTTTAGGATGACCTCGCTAGTCTTGTAACTAACACACCTTTGTATGAACCCAAGTACTTTATTAGCCTTGCTACGAGCAAAAACACATTGTTTACTTGGCTTAAGGTTCCTACTTACCATTACTCCTAAATCTCTCTTGCAGTCGGATTTCTCTATGGCATCGTTGTTCATCTGGTATCTGGTATACTGAGTACTTTACGTTTGTCGACGTTGAATTTCATATGCCATTTTTCAGACCATTCGAAAAATTATGTTTAGATCTTCCTGTAGTTTTGCGGAGTCCTCGTCAGATTCAATAGCACGTCCTATTTTAGTGTCATCAGCAAATTTACTTACGTTGCTGCCTATGCCGATATCTATGTCGTTTATGTATATAATAAATATTAATGGTCCAAGTACTGAGCCTTGGGGAACTCCACTTGTGACGTTGCTCCAATGGGACTTAGTGCAGTTAATGCTCACTCGCTGTTTCCTGTCCTGTAACCACGCCCTAATCCATTTAAGGATGTTACCTTTGATGCCATGTGCTTCTACCTTTCTAATTAGTCTTTCGTGGGGACTCTGTCGAAGGCTTTGCTAAAGTCGAGATATACCACATCATAATTGTGCCCCTCGTCCACCGATTCGAAAACTGATGAAAAGAATGTTAATAGATTAGTTAGACAAGAACGTCCGCTTGTGAAGCCATGCTAGGAATCATTGATCAATCTGTGCTTCTCCAGGTGATTTCGAATAGAGTTTGAAATGATTGCTTCCAGTAATTTGCCTACTATTGATGTTAGACTGATTGGGCTGTAGTTAGAGGATAGTGATCTGTCCCCCTTCTTGAAAATCGGTATTACATTCGCTATCCTCCAGGATTCTGGTACTACACCTGTTTTTAAGGACATGTTAAACAACTTTGCTAAGGGCAGACTAAGCTCTTCCTTACAGTCCTTTAATACTCTGGCAAATGTCTCATCGGGACCAGGTGACTTATTAGGCTTTAGTTTGTCTATTTGCTTACTAATATCGTTACTAGTCACTACTATCTCGCTTAATTTGTTTTCTTCACTATCTCTGAATAGAGTCGGTGCCTCGGGTATCATGTTTAAATTTTCGGTGGTGAAAACTGTTGAAAAATATTTATTCAAATTATTGCTCATTTCTCCGTCGTTATCAGTGAGTTCGCCAGTATCTGACCGTATTGGTCCAATCTTTTCTCGTGTTTTAGTTTGATACATTTGGTAGAATCCTTTGGGGTTTGTCTTCGCCTCCCTTGCTATCCTTACCTCATTATTCCTCTTGGCTTTCCTTATCTCGGTTTTAACCCTACTCGCCAATATCTTATAATAATCCTGGAGGTAAATTTCGCCACGCTTTATCCTTCTACCTATAGCCTTCCTTTGGCCAATGATGTTCTTTAAATAATTATTTATCCATTTAGGGTCATTGTTGTCTGATCTGAGTTTTTGTATGGTATGTTCTGCCTTTGTGCTTTAAGTAACTCATTATTTAAATTGTCGTGGAACTCGGCAATCTCAGATGTCGTTATCAGTTCTGAGTCATCTGTCAGGTTCACGGCCAAGCGCGACACCCCCTCTCTCAGCTGCCTCTTTAAACTGTCAAAGTTTGCCTTTCTGAAATCTGGTACTTTAGTGGAATTTTCCTTACGTCTGCCCTGAAAATCTAACTGGAATCTAATTTCTTTGTGATCGCCGTTTGCAAGTTCGTTCCCTACCTCGACATTGCTAATGAGGTTTTCTCTGTTCGACAGAACTAAATCGAGTATATTATTACCCCGTGTGGGTTCGGTTATATGTTAACTTAGGAAACAGTCCTGGATCGTCTCGAGAAAATCCTCTGATTCTGAGTTACCCGTAAGGTCAGTCCAATCTATTTGGCCAAGGTTAAAGTCGCCTACTATACAAACTTTGTTGTGTATGGAAGCCCTGCGCATTTCATCCCAGATAAGTCGCTCATTGACTCTATCAAGATTGGGAGGTCTATATATTACTCCTGTGAAGAGAAGGAGGAGGAAGATAAGTGAAGAGAGAGAGAGAGAGAGAGAGAGAGAGAGAGATAATGACGTAACACAGTAGCAGGAACAAGTTTGGGAGCGGCCAGTGTTACCGGACACCCGTGGAGTCGCGTATCCTTCCCTCCCTGTAACTTGAGTCCTCCAACACACACACACCAAGATAATTTTCCACCTTCTAATTTAATGGCTTTACTGCAGGGCTAAACTAGGCCGAACTCAACTGTTTACCATTGTTTGTATACCTGCATTGTTTATATAATGTTTTATATACCTGCACTGTCTATAAACATTGTTTGTATACCTGCTTTGTTTATATAAATTGTAAGCCAGTATTATCTAGTTGCACTGGTCATCTGAAAGCAAAGGAAACACAGAGTGAGAGAGAGAGAGAGATAAAGAGAGATAGCTTTACTACTGACGTCACGAAGGAGTTTATCAAAGGAATTCCTTTGATAAACTCCTTCGTGACGTCAGTAGTAAAGCTATCTCTCTTTATCTCTCTCTCTCTCTCACTCTGTGTTTCCTTTGCTTTCAGATGACCAGTGCAACTAGATAATACTGGCTTACAATTTATATAAACAAAGCAGGTATACAAACAATGTTTATAGACTGCACCATTACTACCACCACCACCACCACCACCACCACCACCACCACCACCACCACTACTACTACTACCACCACTACTACCACCACCACCACTACTTATTTATTATTATTAATAAATGGCCTCCAGCCTCCCCCAATAGCCACACCTTCGCCACCAGTTAATTACCTTAATATTAAATATCCTAATACATCAGAAGCTATCCTGCTATACTACTACCAGACGTAACTTACAACACTTGTCATAAATTTATAACAACTTGTGAAGAAATATAATATTAATTTATTCCGCGTTAACCTAAGTCTTAGCTGGTATTAGTATGTATGTATGTATGTATGTATGTATGTATGTATGTATGTATGTATGTATATATGTATGTATGTTTGTATGTATGTATGTATGTATGTATGTATGTATGTATGTAT